AATTAAAAAAATAATAACAAAATAAAGAAATGGAATATTATCTATCAAAACATATAAAAAACAAAAGCATGAATTTTGTTAAAAAATCGTTATTTTATATTTTATTTCTATTTTTTATCAAAACGAATAAAAAACAAAAGAATAACCATGACTAACTTCAGGTGTGGACAGACTGGACAGAATGAATGAATAAATACGACGATTATTATAGTTAATTCTGATTTTTGGTTACAATTCAATTTCCATTTCTCGTTATAGTTAAGGAAGCTTTTTTCTTTTTAAAAATCTTATTCACTGCGGGAAAATTTTCTATGCCTAGAAATGTTCCACTTTCTTCTTTGATCCAACACGTTTTATATTGGCTTGATATATACTTAAAGTTCTGAAAAACTTTAAATGAAGAGAGAAAGAGAAAATTTTTGATTTGTGACTCTTTAAAATTATAATTCGATTTAAATTTATATACTTTATATGTTTTATATGCTAAAAAAACAAAATATTCTGAATTCTGTTTTTCAAATTCAAAACGATTGATTTTTATCCACTGTACACGACTAAACGAATTAAGTAACTTTTACTATATTAACAACTTTTACTGTATTTACAAAGTAAAACTTTGTGTTACGGAAATTTCTAATGTTCTATAAAAGTTCTGATTGTTTGAATAAACGGAAATTTTTATCGATATTTTGTAAGATAACGGACTAGGTTAAAAAGGAAAAGTCATCTAAAATCGGAATTTTCTTTACTGAAGTATCAAATTGTTACCAAAGTGTATTAAATTGATATCAAATATTTTAATTAATTTGTAACTTTATCCATAATTTTGGTATCAATTTGTTGTAATTTGATACTCTTAAGTTAACAGTGAGAAGTATAGATGAGCTTTTTGAAAATTTTGAAAAAATTTCTATATCGAAAAATTGTAAACAGCTTTGAAAATATCAGAAGCTTGCAACAATTTTCAGAATGCCGAAAAGAGAAAAAAAGCGTATTTACCACACTATTTTGAGTAGTTCTCAAATCTTTCTGCCTTTCAACACACATCCCATGATAAAAGCAATCCCTACAGTGTATAAGACAACAAGCATGATAGGTACGTCAGAGGTTTTATGAGATTTCTTGGAGGATTTTTAAAAGACGTTTTATCTCACGGAGAGGTAGTGCTTGTAGAATAATGTATTTTCCTTTGGTTATGTATATATATATATATATATATATATATATATATATATATATATATATATATATATATATATATATATATATATAGATAAGTGCTGAACCTCCATTTCGCTCAAGTATAGCGTTTCCGTGTCCATTGTTCGTTGTTATGAAATTTCACACGTGAAATATATAAGATACATCAAATACGTAAATAGATTTTTGTACAAACATCATCATCATTATCGTTTCCTTCTTCGTGTGATGAATTTTATATATTCTTTTTTGAAATTCTATCAAAAAATTGATTCTTAAATGTTTATATATAAATTTGAAACTTTGTTTAAAGTACGGTCAATTAGTGATGAAATGAGAAAAGGCATATAATTGCCGCAACAAAATAAATTATTTCTCTGCTTTTCCATGCATGGTAATTAAGTTCATTAATTAGTTAAAATTGGCACGTAATTACAATATTGAAGTAACAATTTAATTGCCATTGTTCCTTTCTATATATTTGTAGCAAATTTCACAAATTTGGAGGAAAAAAGAAATGAACGTGAAATCATATATAATTTTGATAAATTCAGTTTCGAGAGTCGGTTTCCAGTGCCATTTCGTCCACGAAAGTTTTCAGAAATAGTTTTACATTATATTCGACAATTTAGTACTTTACTGATCATATTGTTTAAAGTTCTGTAATATTAGTTGTCGTCATATTTTTTTTTATAATAAATAATTGCATTTAATTATATATAATCGGGGGAAATTTATCAACATCTTTGGTTTATTGATAGCGGGCGCGTAAATTATCGATAATGCCCCAGAATTTAGTCCTTTCGTGAATTTATTGGATCAATTAACAGATGAATGTTTCAAATGACATGCTCGAACCCTATCAGAGCATATCACCTGACCTGGAGTGTTGCTGGAATCTGCATAGTCGCGATTCCCTCTATTTCAATGAATGCTCACCGACCAAGTTTGCTGGGAGTATTCTGTGGTTGTACACCAAATTCTGTACCATTTGCACCAGCACAAAATTATATATCTATATTTATATATTATATGAAATTATTTCGATCAGAGATATATCGGAACTGAAATTGGCTCTATTTGTATTATAATTTGCAAGTCTCGAACTAGATACGTAAATTTGTTTAAAATCCGTAAAAGTAAGTTTTTTTAAATGAAGGTCCGTAAAGTCCATAATTTTTATTGAAAAAGCAAGAAAAGTCCGTAAATTTAACGATATAATTTGTAGAATTTTTGAGAAGTTACAAATAATTGTAAAAATTCAATTCTTTTGAAAAATTCTTGAAAAAATTAAATTATTTAGAGAAATAACAAAATTCTTCAAAGGTATTTCAATTATAGTGAAATAACAGCAAACAAAATAACAGCACAATATGTATTTCAATTACTTTTATAAATAGTAAAATTCTTTGCAAAAATTCAATTATTTTTAATACAACTTTAATAACATTTTATGAAAGAATTCAATTTTTAAAGAAATTCTTTATAACATTTTTCGAAAGAATCCAATTATTTTCTAAAATTTTAATAAATCCTTCGAAACAATTCAATTATTTTTATAAATAGTAAAATTAATTGCAAGAAATAAATTATTTTTCATAAATAATAAAAATCCTTCTAAGGAATTCAACTATTTTCAATACTACAATTTTCAATAATAACAAATTCGATTGTATGCAATAAATAAAAGAAATTTTTCGAAAGAATTAAATTATTTTCTAAACATTTTAATAAAATTCAAGAATTAAATGTTTAATTTCAATATTATTAGAAAGATGATTAAATAAAATTCTTCCCATATTCAATTATTTTTATAAATATAATAAAATTCTTCGAAGCAATTCAATTATTATCAAATTTTTTGATAAAATTCTTTGCAAGAATTCAATGATTTGCAAATTTTTTTTATAAATTTTTGCGCAATAATTCAATTATTTTCATAAATAATATAAAATTTTTACAGAGATTCAATTATTTTCGTAAATAATAAATTTGTTTTTATGAATTCAATTATTTTCATTAATAATAAAATTTTCGCAGGAATTTAATTATTTGAAAACGCAATTTTTATAAAATTTTTCAAAAAAAATCAATCATTTAAAATATTTACAGAGATTCAATTATTTTCGTAAATAATAAATTTGTTTTTATGAATTCAATTATTTTCATAAATAATAAAATTTCCACAGGAATTTAATTATTTGCAAACACAATTTTTATAAAATTTTTCGAAAAAAATCAATTATATAAAATAATTTTTATAAAATTCTTTGCTAGAATTCAATTATTTAAAAAAAAAAGTTAATAAAGTTCTACGTAAGAATTCAATTATTTTTGAAAATTTTAATAAAATTCGTTGCAAGAATTCAATGATTTGCAAATTTTTTATAAATTTTTTCGCAATAATTCAATTATTTATAAAAAATTTGACAAAATTTTCGGCAAAAATTACAATTATTTTAAAAAATTTTCCTTAATTCAATGATTTTCAATATTTATTATTTTAATAAAATTTTCCAAAAGAATTCAATTATTTAAAAATATTTAATGAAATTCCGTGCAATTAATTATATTTATAAATTCTTTATGAGAATTCAATTTAATAAAACATTCAATAATTGAATAAGTTATTAATTTTTGTATTTAAATAATTGAATTCTAGTTGAATTTTCTAATAAAAATTGATTTAAAAATGAATTTCAATTAAAATTTTAAATTATAATTGAATATTGAAAGCATTATATCGTTAATTTTTAGAAATAGTTGAATTCTGAAACGGTTTCAAATTAAAGTCTTTGAAAATTAAAATTTTAATTAACAATTCTGTGAAATAAATTTTTTTCAAAAGGTTTAATTGATTTTGTTTCGAAATTTTTTTAAATTCATATTTTCTAATATATATTTAATTGAAGAATTTATAAATAATTGAAATTTCGTAAAATTGAATATTGTAAACAAATGGATTTGAAAATTGTCAAAGAACTTTTTCGAAAATTATTAAAAATAATTGTTTAAAGAAGAATTTTAGTTAAAAATTCTAGAAAATAATAATTGAATTGAAATGTTGAAAATAACTTTGAAGAAGTTCTAAAAGGACACCGCACTAAATACACTAAAAATGGCTTTCGGTTAAAATTCTTAATATTTTCAAAATTTTTAGTTAAAGGTTTTCTGTTTAAAAAAATAATTAAGCGAAGGTCAAGAAATAAATAACCGAAAGCCATTTTCAGTGTGTTTAGTGCGCGGGGTCCTTTATAATATAAATTACAAAATTATAAATAAATTGTAACTAATTCTTTTAATTCTTATATAAATAAATTTCTACTTAATATTTACTACTGTTGTCGAGTATAGAAAATGCAATATTTTATGAATTTTTGTAAAAAGAAATTTTAATCTAACTTCTTTTGTGTGTGTGAGTATAAAAATATAAATTTGACGAAATTTAACAATATCCTGGCTGATGTATTATTATTTTTTTTTTGGTAGAATCTAAAATCGTGAAGTACTGAAAGCAACATTACTCTTTGACGTATAATAATTAAACTTTACTCGAGAACAATCCTTATATAACTTTTGAAGCACTTTTGATGTTAAACTTTTGATGTTTTGTTCTTTCCACATGAAAAAGTTAAATTCTAACATTGAAAGTTACTTTCAAAAATTCAAAATAAAGGAAATGGTTTTCTCACAATGGTGCGGGAAATATATTTAGCATTGCAATCCTATTTAGAGTAATAAATTATCATTTAAGCATGTACGACACTTTGAAATTGAGCAAATTTTTTTTTTATTTTCAGATTAACTATTTCAAAACTGAAAACTATTCTACTAGCTGTAATAAGTCATGACTGGAAGGATTCAGGAAAGGAATAATTGGATTACTGTGAGTTAATAATTTTATATTTTTCAACTGAATTTATATTTTTCTGTGTTTAATTTGCGTCTTGACTTATTTTATTTGTTATTCCGTTTTAAGTACACTGTCAATTTAATGGTAACTCAAATTGCAACGAGATACAAAAAATGATTAAATAAAAAATTGATCCAAATTTTTGGCATCAATTTGATCTACGTTAGATATCAATTTGATGCAAAAGAACGGTGTATAAATTATCACTCGAATTCTTTATATATATTATATAAAATAGAAAACTAGATAAAAAAATAGAAAAGAGTGAAAAAAATTCGTGATATTCATAGACTTTGTGCCTTAAAAATTTGGTTTTTAAAACAACAAAAATTGTCTAGAAAATTTTTTATGTTTCATTTTCATTAACTTGAATCTTTCAAATTAGAAATATATTTTTTTGTCAGTGTCTTTAATTATTTTGTACATTTTTCTTTTTTCATTTGCCAAATTAGTATTAAAGAATAGCATAGTTAAAATAATTTGTACATTAAAAATTAAAATTATCTGAGATTAGCTTTCAATTGTGTAGAAAAATGCTATTGATTTTTTTTTTGTGTACGTGGTTAGAAAAATAATATTTTATTCTATATAGTAAATTTTCAAATAATCTTTTCTCTTCGAAATTGAAGTATTTTCCATCATGTACCAATTTATCCAATTTGAAGGAAAAAAAAACGTGACTAATGATGTGATGAAGCGAATTTTACCTTGACATTTGGTTTGATTCAAGGGTCATTGAATTTTTCTTCCCTTCCTCACCATTAGAACCGTGACATTCAACCGTAATTCATATACACATATATATTTAGTAAAATTCTTTTTATCTTTTGTCCTGAATTATTTCAATATACATATATATGGTAGTAATCACAAATGATAGAGGTGAATCGCCTCTCTATATGGCATTAACTCAAGAGTTGACCAACATATATATATATATATATATATATATATATATATATATATATATATATATATATATATATATATATATATATATATATATATATATATATATATATATAGGTAGATAGAGGATCGATTACTTTGAATAATTTATCAAATTTCGATTGGTAAAGGACCAAGAACTTTGCAGAACAATAATATGTATTGTATATATTGATGTATGAAATCAGTGAAACTATTTTAACAAAAGAGGAAAACTTTTTCATAAAGCTTATTATTATTGGTTACTCTGGATTACTATGTCTTTATGAATATTGTATGCAAATTCTTTTTCTTTTTAGTAATCCTTTGTTAATAATTTTTATTTTTAAAAAATAAGTTATTCTTTTGTGATTAACAAAACTTTTTCTTTTTTTTCCCTTAAATGTTTGCGAATACAAAAATATTCTTTTATTAGAGATTGATAGAATTTTTCTTTTCACTAAACGATCATCAAAGAACATAGACATTCATAATTCAGAGAAAAATATAGCAAATTGTATGCAATGTGGATGATTAATCAGCTCTCATTATTGAATCGATAGTTATTTTTTTGCGGCGATCTGATGAGAAACTTGTACACTTCGTAATGATTTCCAAGTAATAATATTCTAGTGCGACCAACCCCCGTAAATGCTATATTGCGTAGGTGTGTCAGTATCATATATATATGTATATACAATCACACTCTTCATATATCTTTTAATATCCCACTTCGTAACTTCATTTATGACCACATTTCATATACATATATATCGTGCACATGATGCTAATTAATTTCAAGGCTCGCTCATCAGTACGGCACAATTTTCATTAGGGCATTTTTTTTATAATAGGGAAAAATTTGTCATGACAAATTTCACTTGCAAGCTAGTTCCTATAAATTTTTATTCTCGATCTTATTTGTATGCTAATGATGAATATCGAAATGAGGGAATGGTATTTTTCGTGCGGTAATTCTATTATCCCACATCTCATTCTTATTATTCTCTTATATACTTATTACAGGACTCGAACTAGGTCCGTAAAATTACGACTTTGCTTGAAGTTCGTAAAAGTCCGTTTTTTGAAAAAAGGTCCGTAAAGTCCGTAATTTGATTCAAAAAGGATGATGAAAAGTTCGTAAATTTTACGATATAATTTTGGAGATTTTGAAAAAAGTTAGAAATGATTGTAGAAATTCAATTATTTTCAAAAGTAATAAAATTCTTCGCAGAATTTCAATAATGTTCAAATAATTTTAAAATTTCTTGTCAAAATTTCAATTATCTTTATAAATAATAAAATTCTTATTCGAAATTCAATTATTTTCAAAAATTTTCCTCAATTCAATGATTTTCAATATATCTACTATTTTCATAAAATTTTACAAAAGAATTCAATTATTTAAAAACAAATTTAACAGAATTCTACACAAACTTTTAATTATTTTCAAAAAATAATAAAAATTTCACAGGCATTGAATTATTTACAAATTTTTTTTTATAAATTTCTTCTCAATCATTCAATTATTTTCATAAATAATAAAACTTATTGCAGAATTTAAATTATTTTTAATACAATTTTAATCAAATTTCTCGAAAAACGTAATTATTCTTAAAAATTTTATTAAAATTCGTTGATAGAATTCAATTATTTGAAAATTTGTCGATAACGATTCTTTATCAGAATTGAATTTTAAGAAACATGCAATTGCATGTTTCCAAAAATTGTTATTTTTGTATTTAAATAATTGAATTCTTGTAGAATTTTCTCATAAACATTGATTTAAAAATGGATTTTAGTTAAAATTTTAGATTACAATATTGAATTTTAAAAGCATTAGAGCGTAAATTTTTAGAAATAATTGAATTTTAAAAAGGTTTCAGATTAAAATCTCTGAAAATTTGAATTTTTCATGTCTTTAACTAACAATTCTGTGGAATTAATTTTATTGAGAAACTTTAATTGCGGATTTTTTAAATATTATTTTAAGTTTTTATTTTTTAATATATATATTTAATTAAAGAATTTACGAATAATTAAAATTTTGTAAAATTGAATCGTAAAGAAATGAATTTGAAAATTCTTAAAGAACTTTTTAAAAATTATTAAAAATAATGGATTTATAGAAGATTGTTTCGTTAAAAACACGAAAAAAAAATTCAATTTTGTAAAAGTTTTTTGGTTCAAATAAAATAAAAAAAAAGTTAATACAATATTTTAATCAAATTTCTAGAAAAATGTAATTATTCTTAAAAATTTTATTAAAATTCATTGATAGAAATTCAATTATTTGAAAATTTGTTGATAACGATTCTTCATGGGAATTAAATTTTAAGAAATATTGAACTATTCAATAAATTGTCTATTTTTGTATTCAAATACATAATTGAATTCTAGTGGAATTTTTTAATAAAAATTGATTTAAAAATTAATTTCAGTTAAAATTTTAGATAATAATTATTGAATATTAAAAGCAATATATAGCGTGAATTTTTAAAAATAATTGAATTTTGAAATTAATTTTTTTGAAAAAGTTTAATTCAATTTTTAAAATATTATATTCAGTTTTTATTTTCTGATATTTATTTAATTGAAGAATTTATGAATAATTGAAATTTCGTAAAATTGAATATTGTAAACAAATAGATTTGAAAGAAAGAGCTTTTTTTCAAAGAACTTTTTTGAAAATTATTGAAAATAATCGATTTAAAGAAGAATTTGAGTTAAAAATTCATGTAAATAATAATTGAATTGTAAATGATTTTAACACTTTGTCATCTTTAATTATTATAAAACATGAAGAAATCGATCACTCCGAGTCGAAGACTCGGAGTTATCGATATCTTCATGTTTTATTAGTTATGAAAAATTTATTTTATAGTTTTAATTAAAATGTTCTCGACTCAATCTGGTTATATTTTTGTCAGTAATTGGTCCGTAATTTTTCATAATAATTAATTAATTCCAATAATATTGAAATAAGAATTAATAGATATTTGTTAATTACTATGAGGACGAAGTCCGCAACGTTTTTATAAATGAAAACAAAAGAAATAATGCGATTATTTATTTTGTTTTGACTTCAAATTTACGTTACTTTTGAGTAATTGTCTAATATAAAGTAACAATTTTTAAAAATTTACGCATTTATTTTTATATTTGTCGGATTAATTATTATATTTGGAATAATATTATTACTACTAATAATAATATCATTACCATTAATAAATTTAATTTCATTCTTGGCACCTTGTTTGATACTTTTTCATGATTGGAATCTTAAGTGAATATTAGACCAATATTTAAGCTTGAGGCTGATTTTTATCTGAAATGCAATGTTTGTATTTTGTAATTGTATTTGTTATTCTATTTGAAATTTGTAATTTTATCAATTGGATTAACAATATTGCATTCAAAATTAATTAATCTCAATAATATTGGATTAATAACTAATTAATTTCAATATTATTTGATTAATAATCAATCAAATCGAATAATATATTGGTTTAGGTATTAATAAATAATTGCTGAATAAAAGTATTAAAATCATTTTGTTAAAAATAATAATTTTTGTTTGTTTAAAAAAATAAAAAATGTTATCAATTTAGTTATTTTAGCTGTGCGGGTAAAAATATTAAAATCATGTTATTAAAAATTGTTGTTAATTTAGTTATTTTGTTTTTGATTATTTGAAACAAATTTTATTTAATCTAAATAAATATTTTGATTTGAATACAAATTTCGTTTATAGTTTAATAAAACCGTTCGAAGAAAGAATTCAGTCATCTGAACCAAAGCTTTTGCAGAACCAAACAAATTATTGATAGCAATGCATTTATTTTACAGATTCAACTAAAATTTGGTTATTTCAAATAAATTTTTTATTTGAGGGTGGACTCTGAGTCAAATATTCCTTTTTTCTGGGTGTATAAAATTATGAAACACATAAAATAAGATAAAAATCACAGTTTTTCTAAAGATATCAAATTGAGACGAAAAACATATCAAAATAGTTGCGAAGCAACGTTTTGTTACATTTTTTG